GGAGAGAGGCAATCAAAAAAAAAAAAAAAAAAAAAAAAAAAAGGAAAATGGAAATGAGATGCTCCATAGGGGATTTTGAAAAGCTCTGACATATTTATTGGAACCTAGAAAGCCACGTGCTTGAGAAGGATTGTGAACTTGCCCAGGAAAGACGTGAGAAGGTCCTAATCTCTCACCTCTGGCTGATCTTGAGGCTATGTGTAAGCAAAGCATGAAAGCTAAGGCAGGGTTGAAAATTGCATGCTGGGGCATCGAACGCATGTCTCCAAATGCACATAGCCCCTCAGCAAAGGCTGGGAGGCTTTCTGGTTCAAGGTTTTTAAGGAAATCTCTGTTCAGCCATAAGCTGACCACAGCAAAGAACACAGGATTTATAGAATAGGTCCTGAAAGTCAGTAGACAAACAGCAGCAATGCACCCTAGGAAGAAGAGAGAGGAGATGTGATTTCCAGAAATAGTATATTATTTAAAATGTCCAGTTTTCAACAAAAAATTATAAGACATGGAATGAAATGGGAAAGTTTGGCCCATACTCAAGGAAAAAAAGGATTCAATAGAAACTGACCTTGGGGGAGCTCATATGTTGGACTTAACTAGACAAAGACTTTAAATCAGCTATTATAAATATGTTAAAAAAACTAAAAGAAACCATGTCTAAAGAATCAAAGGTCAGCTAGAAGCAGTTATAGAAAACAGAAAGAAAAAAATTAAAAAGACAATAAAATAAATTAAAAAATAATTAAAGGAAAGTATGAGACTATCTCACCAAATATAGAATATTATTAAAGAGATAGAAATTATAGAGAAAGAACCAAATAAAAATTCTAGAATTGAAAGTACATTAATTGAAATGAAAAATTCACTACAGGGACTGGATAGGAGATTTCAACTGGCAGAAAAGGAATCACCATACTTGAAGACAGGTCAATTGAGATTTTTCAGTATGAGTAACATATAAGAAAAAGAATAAAGAAAAATGAATAAACAAATCCTCAGAGACCTGTGGGAATCCTCAAGTGTACCAACATGCACTTAATAGGAGTCCCAGAGATGAGGAGAGAGACAAAGGGAACAAAAAGAACATTTGAATAAAAAATGCTTGAAAATGTCCCAAATTAGGTTGAAAACAATAGTCTGCACATTCAATGAACAAACTCTAAGTTGTATAAAATCAAAAAGTTCTGCACCAAGACATATAGTCAAACTGTCAAAAGCCAAAGACAGAATCTTAAAAGAAGTAACAGCAAAGAAACTTGTTGCATACAAGGGATCCCCAGTAAGATGAACAGTAGATTTCTCATCAGAAGCCCTGGAGGCCAGAAGGCTATGGGGGGACATATCCAAAATGCTGAAATAAAAAGACTATCAACAAACATTTCCACTTTCAGCAAAACTGTCCTTCAACAATGAGGGAGAAATATGTTCTATGTAAGCTGAATAGAATGTGTATTCTCCTATTGTTGGGAGAAATATTCTATAGATGTCAATTAGATAAATATGGTTGTGATGCTTTTTAGTTGAACCATATTCCTTATGTAATAATTCCAGAATTTTTATCATGTCTGAGTTTGAGTCTGATGCTTAGTTTCTTCAGACAGTTATTTTTCTTGCCTTTTAGTGTGCCTTGTAATTTTTTATTGAAAGCTGAATGTGATGTATCTGGCAATGGAATGCTAATCAGCCTTGGAGATACGCTGTGTTTAATGTTTTGCTATGGTCTGAATGTTCCCCAAAATTCATGTCCTGAAACTTTATCCTTATTTATTTATTTTATTTATTTATTTTTGAGACAGAGTCTCACTCCGTTACCTGGGCTAGAGTGCGTGGCATCAGCCTGGATCACAGAAACCTCAAACTCGTGGGCTCAAGCAATCCTCCTGCCTCAGCCTCCCGAGTAGCTGGGACCATGTCTGGCTAATTTTTTCTATATATTTTTAGTTGGCCAATTAATTTCTTTCTATTTATAGTAGAGATGGGGTCTCACTCTTGCTTAGGCTGGTTTCGAACTCCTGACCTCGAGCAATCCGCCCGCCTCGGCCTCCCAGAGTGCTAGGATTACAGGCGTGAGCCACCGCGCCTGGCCTATGGATTTTAACTTGTTATATTCTCACCCTGCTTTTACCAGCCTTGAAAACAAATGGCCTTGGAACTATGGTAGCTGTGAAAACTGGTTGCCTAACAGTTCCTCAAGGGGGCAGAATGGGTTCAGGGTTCATCCCAAAGCTAATTATTGAAAGAATCATCACTATTTGGCTTGTCTGATAGCTCCCTGAAAATTCCATTCTCAAGCTTGTCTTCATTTGACCAATTCTGAACTTGCCCTATGTGAATAGCTCTATTCCTAGGGCATTTGTTGAAAACAGTTAATGGCAGTTGTTTAACATCATAGCTGCCTATTGCTGATATAGCAATATCAGTTGGGGCTTACAAGGGGCTACCCAAAAAACTTAAAAGGAAAATGGAGCCGGGCGCGGTGGCTCACGCCTGTAATCCTAGCACTCTGGGAGGCCGAGGCGGGCGGATTGCTCAAG